TCTTCTTTTCTTTATTAGAGTGCCTTGTACGGCCAAAACGGTTTACTATAGTAGCTAACTAGAGCCCCGCCGAACGAAAGGGCTTGACTCAAGTCAATTGGTCAAGTCAACTTGGCGGGTAAAGCACGGTACGTCTACTTGGCTATTGGACCCAATCACTTGATGACATGTGGATAATCACGTCAGTCCACAAAAGCGAAAATTATCAAACTTAGTTGTTTGGTCCGCAACCTTAATTAAATTACAGATGTGGCAGGTGCTAGAGTTTTTTTGAAGCACATGAAAAAATTTTAAATTATCAGAAATTAATCGCATAAAGTTTGTTATATTAAGTAACTACAACATTAATATACTAATTGAGTTCATTAAATCGTCATGCCTCATTAATTTTGGAAATAATTTTATTTAATTAAATAACAATGCATGATTAAAATACTCTGGTCTTAATCTTTGGAAAGTAGTATTAAACAAACATTAGGTACTTNTAATTTTCCTTTTTCCCTCCATTAACAGCTAGAAGACTAGTGTGTGTGTGTGTGTTAATGTTTGTTTGTAAATAAGCCTAAAAAATCTTAGATAGAGAGGAAAAAGAGATGAGGGAGAAATAAAAGAAGATCAAAATGTTGTGGCAGAAAACTTTAGTTTTTATATGAATTTCAAGTTTTTGAAATCAAATTTTCTGGTCCTTCCAGTTTTCTGAATTTCAAGAAATGTTTTTAGACTGGAACTACTGGAGAACTTAGTTCATTGACGCGTAAGATTTTCCAATTTGATGATATAGATGATCACCTTTTCCTTTTTAGAATGTCTAGTACGGCCAAAACGGTTGTCTAGGGAAGCAAACTAGAGCTCAGTGAACGAAAAGGCTCGACTCCAGTCGATTAGTCAAGTCAACTTGGCGGGTAAAACACGGGACTTCCACTTGGGTATTTGATCCAATCAAATGATGACATGTGGATAATCATAACAGTCCACTTGACCACAAAAGCGAAAATTGCAAGGTCCTATTCTCCTCCAATTTGACGTTATTAAGAGAATGATGGTAAATTTTAATTAAATGATACTGAATTTCCTCTATAGTTTGTGTCCCGTGGTCCTATTCTCTATATCGACACCCTATGAACCAACAAAACTTTTGATCAGTAGATCACTTGATATTTAACCATTGCTCCGTTCAACCATATAGCAATGTCGAAACGATTTAGCATATCTTAGTTCCAATTATCAAGCAAATAATAATGTCTGCTAGCCTTAGAGAAATTTTTTTTTAATTAATTATCAGAAATTAATCGCATAAAGTTTGTTATTTTAAGTAACTACAACATTAGTATACTAATTGAGTTCATTAAATCGTAGTCCCTCATTAATTGTGGAAAGGACTCTTATTAATTAAATAACAATGCAAGATTAAAATACTTTGGTCTACGTCTTCGGAACATAGTATTAAACAAACATTAGGTGCTTCCCATTATTATACAAAGTTGTTGTCCTGAAACATAAAATAAATATGTCTCACCACCATATCAGCTATATAGTCCGGAAGCACTGTATTGTCCGGAATAATCTATATAATAAAGTAGAACGAANAGAACAATCATTATGGGAGAGCGGTGTCGCCCTTTGGAGTTTTCCGGGAAAATTGTATACGATGCGGATGGAAATCTTCTTCCTGATTCACCTCATCCAAGTAGTTAATGGTAAATAATTAATGCTCTCTCTTCTGGACAATCTTGACTCGTGGGATGACTTCCTTTCCTCTAATGAAGATTAACTCAGCTACTCCTTGATCAGTTTGGTCGGCTATGAGCATTTTGTTTTTTGTTTTGGGAAAAAAATTTCCTTTCCCTCCATTAACACTAGCTATTGTGCTGGTGTTTGTTTGTAAATAAGTCTAAAATAAGCAATGGTAATAATATTGTCTCTTCTCGACAATCTTGACTAAAGGGATGACTCCCTTTAGTGAAGATTAACTCAGCTGCCTACTTCTTGATCGTCAGTTATGTGAATTTTGTTTTTGTTTTTGTTTTTGTTTTTAATTTTCCTTTTTCCCTCCATTAACAGCTAGAAGACTAGTGTGTGTGTGTGTGTGTGTGTTAATGTTTGTTTGTAAATAAGTCTAAAAAATCTTGGATAGAGAGGAAAAAGAGATGAGGGAGAAATAAAAGAAGATCAAAATGTTGTGGCAGAAAACTTTAGTTTTTATATGAATTTCAAGTTTTTGAAATCAAATTTTCTGGTCCTTCCAGTTTTCTGAATTTCAAGAAATGTTTTTAGACTGGAACTACTGGAGAACTTAGTTCATTGACGCGTAAGATTTTCCAATTTGATGATATAGATGATCACCTTTTCCTTTTTAGAATGTCTAGTACGGCCAAAACGGTTGTCTAGGGAAGCAAACTAGAGCTCAGTGAACGAAAAGGCTCGACTCCAGTCGATTAGTCAAGTCAACTTGGCGGGTAAAACACGGGACTTCCACTTGGGTATTTGATCCAATCAAATGATGACATGTGGATAATCATAACAGTCCACTTGACCACAAAAGCGAAAATTGCAAGGTCCTATTCTCCTCCAATTTGACGTTATTAAGAGAATGATGGTAAATTTTAATTAAATGATAATGAATTTCCTCTATAGTTTGTGTCCCGTGGTCCTATTCTCTATATCGACACCCTATGAACCAACAAAACTTTTGATCAGTAGATCACTTGATATTTAACCATTGCTCCGTTCAACCATATAGCAATGTCGAAACGATTTAGCATATCTTAGTTCCAATTATCAAGCAAATAATAATGTCTGCTTGTCTTAGAGAAATTTTTTTTTAATTAATTATCAGAAATTAATCGCATAAAGTTTGTTATTTTAAGTAACTACAACATTAGTATACTAATTGAGTTCATTAAATCGTAGTCCCTCATTAATTGTGGAAAGGACTCTTATTAATTAAATAACAATGCAAGATTAAAATACTTTGGTCTACGTCTTCGGAACATAGTATTAAACAAACATTAGGTGCTTCCCATTATTATACAAAGTTGTTGTCCTGAAACATAAAATAAATATGTCTCACCACCATATCAGCTATATAGTCCGGAAGCACTGTATTGTCCGGAATAATCTATATAATAAAGTAGAACGAAGTTTGAATCCAAAAGACAAAGAGAGGTCCAGATCGTTTTGAGATAAAACATAACACCTCTAACGGATAATGTAATCTTAACATAAAAGACAGTTCAGATCATCTTAAAAATTATGATCCGACGATTATAAGTAGACTTCACTCTAACCCTCCTATTTCTCATATAACTCTCTCTTTTATCTCTTAGACATTTTAAACACATTATCTCATCTCATCTCCTCTCTCTCTCTCTCTCTCTCTCTCTCTCTCTCTCTCTTTCTTTATATATATATATATATATAAACATATAGTTCTCAAAAAAGAAAAAAAAACAAAATCTAATCTAATTACCAATAAAATAAATAAATGACTAATAAAAAATAACAAGTATTACTAATTGCACAAAAAAATTTAAAAAATAATCTAATTGTCATCATCACTTTCACACAAACAAAAAATACAAATATCCCATATATAAGTAAAACCTTCGAACTATTATTCATACCTAATCACCACTTTACTCAGAATTACATGAAAACTTATAGTTCTCAAAATTTTAATTTTTATTGAAAGTAAACAAAACATATTGTTGATTGTCATAAATGATTAGTTAAAAGAATATCTATTACAAATTTTGTTAATAACAAAGCATCTTATTATTTCATGTTGATTATTTTTTTTGTTGAATTTTTATAACTGGATAGTTATCAAATATTTTATGTTTAACTTTTATAACTGTGCAATTAAAAAATGTTTAACATTTATGCGTNTTTATAACTATGTAATTAAAAAATGTTTAACATTTATGCGTGTTTTTGAATATTGATGATTTTTTTGTTTTGGTTTAGTAGCGTATACTTTGGCAATATTTTGTCGTTTTTATTTTTTAATGTTCGCGTGGTTTTGTTGTGGATATATTGTTATTAACTGATTGTTGTTAAATGTTATATGTTAAAAGTGTATTGTTTATACCTTGATTAAAGTTGGTTTTATTTAATTTCTAATTTTACGATAAAACTATATATAAAATTAAAAATATTTCATTTAAACACACAAAATACATTATATCTCTAAGTTTCGTGCTTCTTTTTTCAAAGTTTGTCAATTTACGTTTGACCCCAATAACCTCATACACNAAAATACATTATATCTCTAAGTTTCATGCTTCTTTTTTTCAAAGTTTGTCAATTTACGTTTGACCTCAATAACCTCATACACACCATTACTACAACACAAAAACAAGTACCCAAATGGACAATTTCACCATTTTTGTCATGTAAGTTATTTGGTTTATCAATTTTTTCAAAACATTTGGTATAATATTTCATTAAAAACCATTATATACTTACTATATAATTTTTCATCCTTATTACAAACTGATTCACACCTATAATACACCGTAAGTAGATCTTCTTATCACGCATCTTAGTAACGGTGGTTGATGTTTACTTCTTACTTCTTATCAATTAATGAAATCTAAATTGTCTTTATAATCTATAAATAAAATCATCAATTTATTATTCATACCAAAAATAAATTACTATTGTATGAAAACCTATAGTTCTCAGAAAATAAAAAAAAATCTAAAACCCAAGCTAATCAGCAATTAAAAAAAAATAGGTGACCAATACAAAAAAAATAAGATACCAATTGCACCAATAAAAAATGTTCAAAACCAATTTAATTGCTATGTATTGAAATTATTCAAATATCCTATCGTTGTGTGTTAAAATTTTATAAGTAATATAGTGCATTCAGATACAGACAATAACTAGTAATTCCACGTAAATAAAAAGTTGCATAAAAAACGGACTAAAGGACGCGATACTGATATGCTAATATTTTTGGTTTTATTTTTATTTAGAATTAAATTTTTCTCACAATGATTTTCTGTCATGTAAGGTATTTCGAGAATCAAGCGTCACCAACCAATTAATTACCGATTCAAACCGCTAATTTTCTTGTCCTTTTTTTAGTCAAGTGTCTACCGTATTTTTAAGTAATTTCAAGTTTTTCAGCACGGCAGTGGACTATTCTTACTGTACAAGTGGTATTCTCTCTCTCTCTCTCTCTCTCTCTCTTTCTCTTCCTATAAAGCAAACCATGGTGTTGCTGCTACTACAAACCTGCAACAACCCACTAACAATCTCCCCTGCATTGCCTTTCTTCCTCCTTTAATTCTTGCTTCATTTCTCTCTTGATCAGCCCATTGATTTCTCCTTTGGCCATGGCAAGACCTTTACCAAGTCTCTCCATGCAAAAACTTCCATTCCTACCTATATCAGTCACCTTTTTCTTCATCGTAATTTCAGTCTTCTCCATCTTTACCCTTGTAACTTTTCTATGTGCTTCTCACAAAGCCACCAAAACACAGAGGCTCAAGCAACAGAAGACTATTCAAATGGGCGACAAAAAGCCCATTTCGAGGTTACAAAGTAACATAAGTAGTAAGGCTCTTTTGATGGTGAAAATGATTTCATGGAGAAAGGTGCAGGATGAAGGAGAAGATGAAGAATATTGCCATGATGATGAAGAAGCTTTGTGGAAGAGAACAATCATTATGGGAGAGCGGTGTCGCCCTTTGGAATTTTCCGGGAAAATTGCATACGATGCGGATGGAAATCTTCTTCCTGATTCACCTCATCCAAGTAATGGTAAATAATTAATGTTCTCTCTTCTGGACAATCTTGATTCGTGGGATGACTTCCTTTCTTCTAATGAAGCTTAACTCAGCTACTCCTTGATCAGTTTGGTCGGTTATGAGAATTTTGCTTTTTTTTTTTCTTTGTTTTGGGAAAAAAATTTCCTCTCCCTCCATTAACAACTAGCGAGAAGGCTAGTGTGCTGATGTTTGTTTGCAAATAAGTCTAAAATAAGCAATGGTAATAATATTGTCTCTTCTGGACAATCTTGACTAAAGGGATGACTTCCTTTAATGAAGATTAACTCAGCTGCCTACTTCTTGATCGTCAGTCATGTGAATTTTGTTTTTGTTTTTTTATTTTTAATTTTCCTTTTTCCCTGCATTAACAAGTAGCTAGAAGACTAGTGTGTGTGTGTGTGTGTGTGTGTTAGTGTGTGTTTGTAAATAAGTCTAAAAAATCTTGGATAGAGAGGAAAAAGAGATGAGGGAGAAATAAAAGAAGATCAAAAATGTTGTGGCAGAAAACTTCAGTTTTATATGTGAATTTCAAGTTTTTTTAAATCAAATTTTCTGGTCCTTCCAGTTTTCAGAATTTTAACTACTCGATCATGTTAATTACTCTATTTAGCTCAAAACTCAGACAATTGACCACAGATCCTGATTAGTAGAATGACAAATGGGTTAGACAGCAGATAGGCTTTTCTCAGGTTGGCGGAAACACTTGTGGGAAAGGAAAGGAAACAAAGACAGAAAAAAAAAGCATCTTGGACAGTGAAGAAGTGCTCTTTTTTTTTTTTTTCCCTGAAGAAGATATTGCATACATAGGAGAGGAGGAAGGGGACTTCAGCCAACCGAAAAAGTTAAAATTAACTTCATTTGTGTTTTGTAATTTTTTTTTTAATAACAATTACTGCCAATAGAATGGGAATATGCATTCCACTTTAAGTATGGAATCTGGATACAAGCTTGAAACAGCAAAAGGGGAAGAGAGAGAAGGTACGAAACAAAATTCTTTGTTGCGTGTACAGCCCCGCCTTTGTGATTTAATTTGACATCAGTGTTTAAAAGTTCTGACGTTCAAATCACACTGCTGCCTCTTTTATTAGATGGATCACCCAAGAGGGATTACATATGAAAAGGTAGTAGTAGATAAATACATGTTTAATCATTCTCTATCAGGTTGAGCTTTTAGATGTACAAGTGTGTGAGACAGACTCTTGTGGTGAAACCTGCTCCGCAACCATCAGCGATCAGAACAGAGAGAGGATTATATAATAGAGTGAACTCACAAACTTAGCATAATTAATTTTTTACCCCATTTTTTGCAAACTAAAAGGCCGATGCACCACACTCAATCGAAGAAAAACTATAGCAAATAATAAGATTACAGTTATGTGTTCGTTCTCCTTTCTAGTTTAGTGTAATCAATAATTTTAAAAAAAAGGTATTTAGATCAACTCCTAGGGAAAGAAGGAAACAATTGACACTCTCCCTTGTAACTTACGCAACAAACTCGAGCAAAAAAATTGAAGAATAACATCTAATTGAAGTCAACTGAGACAAATGGAATAAGGGGTGAGTTTTCACCATTGGTCGCTTGAGTCTATACTCTATAGGCTACCTATCCTATCCTACCCTATCCNATAACTTACGTCAACAAACTCGAGCAAAAAAATTGAAGAATAACATCTAATTGAAGTCAACTGAGACAAATGGAATAAGGGGTGAGTTTTCACCATTGGTCGCTTGAGTCTATACTCTATAGGCTACCTATCCTATCCTACCCTATCCGAGATCAACTCCTAGGGAGGATTGTAACGAGAATAAATTTTAAGAACCGGGTCATACAAAATACCAATCAAGAAGGCTTTCGACAAAATAATCTGGTTAATGTGCAATGCACGTCTTTGCCAACAACATACTAAATTTTCGTCAAAATCTGATATTGAATGCCTGCTCGAACTTTGGCTTGAAGTAACCGCCTACGTAAACAATCCCTCTGTTTTGTAGCGCCTCCACTCCGTCGGTTTTTCACGTCGTCTCCCTTCTGTTTTTATTTTAAAGGCTGCCAAACCCAATTGAAAACAAATTTCCTTCATGTGGTCCCACGTGGGTCACGTTTCCACCAGCAAGAGTAATATTTTTTGCATCTATGAAAAAACACGAGTTATGGACCCATGACAATGGGTTGGGCTACCCACATATAGTTGTACCCAACCCNAAGTGGGTCACGTTTCCACCAGCAAGAGTAATCTTTTTTGCATCTATGAAAAAACATGAGTTATGGACCCATGACAATGGGTTGGGCTACCCACATATAGTTGTACCCAACCCAACAATGTCCCCCTCTAGCTCATGTGGGGGCCGAACCAGGTCCGCTTTCTGTCTAGACACTTCAACTTTCTCCTTGGACAGTGGTCTAGTCATCACATTTGAACCGTTTTTTGTTAAGATAGATCTTTTCAAGTTATAATGACTTCATCTCCGATACATCATGGATCCAATGATATTTCTCATTAATATACTTGGATCATGAGTGGAAAGTTGATTTTTTGCTGAAATGGATACTACTCTGATTATCATAGTAGAGAATATATTCCTCATTTTGTAAGCTCAATTCTTGAAAAAATGTCTTCATTCACAACAATTCTTTGCTCGCTTTAGTCACAACAATATACTTAGCCGCTATCATAGATAAAACAACACACCTCTGTAACTTAGATTGCCATAACACTGCTTCCCCTAAATAAGTAATTAGATAACCTGAAGTAGACTTACTAAAGTCAATATTCTCAGTCATATCTACATTTGCGAACCCATCAAGCACAAGATTTCCTTTGCCGAAACACAAGACAACTCTAGAAGTACATCTGAGATATTTGAGAATTCATTTTACTACTCCCATAATGTTTTTTACCTGGATTAAAGAGAAACCAACTAACAACACTGCTATCATGAGTGATATCACACTGAAATGTACATAAACACCACAAAATATTATTATTGACGTTTGTCATTAACGACGTCCAAAGCTCCATCCGAAAAATTACCGGCGTATAATTAAATGCCACAAAAATTAAAGTGACGTTAATTAATCACTCAAGCGACGCTTATTTAATCGATGACTTCTTTGTAAAATTTCAGTGACTGGAGCTATGTTTCGGAATTTATTTAAACGCCACTAATTATTATTTATGATTTTCTGGTTTCTGGCGTTTAAATAAACGCCGGCAATGATAATTAATATATTTTTTTTCATAATAAAACTTAACTCATTGCATTTTCACTAGAATGATAATTTTAAATATTCGGGGATTCTCCACCAGATGAAAAATTGATAGTCAAGCTACTAACAATACCTATATATATATATATAAGAACAAAACAGCATTACAAGAAGCAAAGGAGAAACACAAACCAATGTCCATAACAAAAGCCAGAAATTAAACTAAAACCAGNCGGATGAAAAATTGATAGTAAAGCTACTAACAATACCTATATATATATATATATATATATATAAGAACAAAACAGCATTACAAGAAGCAAAGGAGAAACACAAACCAATGTCCATAACAAAAGCCAGAAATTAAACTAAAACCAGGAAAAAAAACTACTCCATCAGACAGCAAAGACCAAATCAGCCCATATCATCAAAAACAAGAGTCCTCTTTTTTTCGAAGCACAAGTAATCCCCTGCCTCAGTGCTGCCATCTTTTTTTTTTTTAATTTTTTTAACACAACTAGTCATTACAAGCAGCAAAAAGGAAAACCACATAAAGGCCTCCTATTCCAGAAACAAAAACAAACAGAAAACCAAATCAAAAGATTACAGGCCAGCTCCCAAAACAGTCAGCAGAAACATCACTCTTACAGCCACCTCTAACCAATAACAGCAGTAAAACAGGTCAACAACAGCTTTCACAGCAGCAATTTGAACTGACATCAACTTCCAGCCAATAAAAATGACTTGTTTCAAACAAATCAACACTAAAAACTACAGGCACAAACTCAGCATCCAAGCAACCACAATTACATTGATCATCATAAACCAAAACTCTCCTCTTTCTTAGGATAGGAAAATTTTTTGTGGTTCGTTCTTGTAATTCTTTTGATTAGAAATTAATAAATTAATAAATTTATAGGCAAATCCAACAAAGAAGCCGTCCAAGTTGTGTTTTTTTTTTGGCACTTGTTGTGTTTCTAAAATGTTGACTTGTACATGTCAACCAGTTTTCCAGGGGTTAACAGACAGAATTAAAAAAAAAAAAAAAAGGGTTAATGGACAGGCCTCTCTCTCTCTCTAATGCTTTCTGTGGTTAGTTAAAATTACATAGTATCCATGAAGCAATTCTTAGAATTATAAAGTTTATCCCATTTTCTTCACTTTCAAAGCTCCCACCAATGAACAGTTGTCCAAATAATGATATGAGGACCCTGTCATATAGAGTTGTGTCCAACTCGAATTCATGGAGTGTAATCTACCATTAAGAGAATAGTATATTGTCTGTGATCAAAATGTGACATCAAAAAAATAACTCAGAATATCAAAAAACCATAAGAAAAATATATTAGTGTCTTTGGTTCCAATTCCATATATATGTGTGTATTGTTTTTTTAGCAGTCAATTGTTAGGCTTCTCAAAGGGAACAGAACACAAATCCAATTTCAGCACTAAGATTACCTGGAGATTATTCACTGCCTTCTACTTCTTCAAATTTCAGTGTGGACAGATCCATGACACAGAAGAGAGAGAGTGACTTGGGCTGGAATTTCGCTGCATGATTATTAACATGCTGCAATTTCGCTCTCTTTTGTCGATGAACCTACATTTAATATTTGATACGACATCAATTGAATTAGGCCAAAGTAATTGCAACAAGATCAATACTAGTCAACAAACTCATGTAATATTTGAGCTACTATTCCATTTATTGGCCCCTTGACCAAATGAAGATGCTCTAGAATGACCTTGAAACTCTGTATCTTGCACTGCCGGACTTCTTGACTCACTCCTCATCGATGATCGATGAGAGTTTATATTGAGTACTAGATGCATCAAGTACCTTTTAAGATTGCAAATACTTAATATTCATGGAGAAAAATAATACAATAATACAATAACTCTTCTAACTCAAAATATAAGTCGCTAAAATTTTTATTACCTTTTCAACCTGAAGTGGATCTGTGTTTTTGCGAGCTGGTTCGAGAATAGGCATACCCATTGCACGCATTTGAACGAGAAAAAAATAATTTGAAATAAATATGAAACATATGCGAAATAAGAATGGATAAATAGTGAACATCTTTCTTGCCAATTTTACATATCAAGGCTTGTGCAACAACATCATTAATTGGTCGACCATCTTTCTTTGAATATGAAACCTTAAAATATTCAATACGACTCATTTTCTTCCCATAATAAGATTACAGTTAAAATAGACACAATAAATAAACTTGAATAAAAGTCTTTTATACAACACATTTGTTTTCTAACAAACCCTTTCCATAACACATGCAAAGCTTGTTTGGCCAATAGTGTGATAAAATTTTTTCTTGCTCCGAATGAGTTTGTTCCTCTCACTTTTTTCCTATTACATGCCAAAAGCAATTATCATAAAAATTTGAAAAAAAAGAGAAATGACTTATTTTAGAATTGACAAGATTTACACTTGCATATTTGTACTTGTGCCTTCGGAGTGCTCCAATAATAGACCATGGCCCGCCAATGTGATTCCTCCACTTGGTCAGGCTTGTGAGCTAATCTTTCTACATCAGTTCTATAGGGATAATAAACTTGTTTCTTAATCTCACACTTCCAGTCTTTCCACTTCCTCCCTATAGACTTCATTAGATATCCTTTCATCCACTCTTTTGCATCAGTGCTTGCCTACAATTCCATTCAAAAACCACTAATAACATGCAAAAACTATATAAAATCACTTAGTTACTATAAAATAAATTCAAAAAATTTCCACCTTTATTTCATCCCATATTCTTTCTTTATACTCCTTGGGAACAACACGCCACTCGTGCCAATTTAAGGGTGTCATGGTCCCATTTCGAGCTAGCATGCCTAAACGAGATTGAAGTGGAGTAGCTTTTTCACCAATTGGTTGTTTTAATTCATTTTCCTCAATGTATAGCACACTGCTGCCATGTGTCAAGGTACGCCCTCTAGTTCCTCTCTGTATAGAATCCGAGGAATTGGAACCTCCACTTAAAAAAAAAATTTTAGTGATTACAATATCATGTCTAGTGAAAATTATTACCTTCTATTCCTCCATTNGTGTCAAGGTACGCCCTCTAGTTCCTCTCTGTATAGAATCCGAGGAATTGGAACCTCCACTTAAAAAAAAATTTTTAGTGATTACAATATCATGTCTAGTGAAAATTATTACCTTCTATTCCTCCATTACTAAAATATACCGTTGTCGTTGCGTGATGTATTGCCATCATCGTCTAGTGATTGGCCACAAGATTGATGGTTGGTACTAAAACCTGAATTATAAATACTTAAATTACTAAACATATAATTGTATGCATAATATCAAACTGTGAGAAAAACATAATCTACAACCAAATAATGTACCTGGGAGGCTAGAAGTAGGATGCCACCATGATGGTGGTTCTGGAATCATGTGCACATTTTCCACCATAGCAAACTATGAACCATTTATGAATATACAAGAGTTTGGAAGTGTGTCATCAAGATATAAACACTAAGCAGTTTCATGATATTAAAAGAGAGCTTGACACTTTACATAGCAATGAAAATCCAAAACAATTAAACATATAAAGTCTTATGATATTAAAAAAAATAAAAAATTCATATATCATTCATCATCATAACCATAGACTGTGGTTCCAACAACACCTTGTTTAACCTAGACCATGTCGTCGTCATCATGATCGATAGCAGTTTCATCTAAATCTTGTTGCCCATATTCTTCCAACTGGTTATGTTGCATCCTAGCATCTTCTCTTGGTTGTTGTCCATAGACTTCAAATAAATCTCTACGTTTCATCTTGATGACTATTTTCCAATCTTCTTCAATGGGATCTTGTACATAGAAGACTTGTTGTGCTTGAGATGCCGGGATGAATGGTTCATCAGAGATCAATCCCTTGGTGTAAAGCAAATTTCTAAAATTGACTAGTGTAAAACCAATGTCATCCCGCTCGACAAGACCCCTATTGTAATCGACCCAATCACACTTAAATAATACATAATTACAGTCTGGTAAATAATATAGTTCAACAATATCAGTCATCATTCCATAATATGTAACATCTCCTTCCACGAGATGCATGTCCCTTGAACTAGCATAACTATGAGTACGTGCCTTTAGCATAACACCAATGTTTTGAATTTTTCCTCTTCGTTCACGTTTCTTTGTGTGATACCTTGTACCATTGATAATGTACCTTGTGAACCTAGTGGCTTGCTTAGACGGACCCATAGCTAGTGTCATAATCTCATTAGAAAGTTGCATATTTCCTGTTGCTATTAACTACTGCACCTATAGTAATGGAAATTTTGAAATATTAAACACTAACACATAACATGTCACTTAACTTGAAATTATATGTAAATTTCTCGATGTTACATACATAGGATGCAAACCATATGTGAAATGTATCATTGTGAAAGCGATCGACTTCATGATCCCTCACACGACGATTGAACGTTTTAATAATGGCTCGATGTTCCTGTGTAAAAAATTCTTGTTTGAATGCAATGAACATAAAGTTGGTTCACTATTCTAACACAATAAAAAAAAATGGAACCATGTATTACTCTTGAAATGGGACAACTCTTATCCATAAACGTATTCCAATATGATATGTTTGCAAATCTGAACCATCAAACATATGTTGTTTCAAGATACCAAAATAATCGAACACAAAAAAAATAAGGAAAAAAGGGAGTTGGAAATTCAACAATCCTATACCGTATGTTTTAATAATTAAGTACAATCAAATTCAAGGAACGAAGAATATTAATATGCACAAGTAAACTAAAATAAACACAGTTTGTCAACATAAAACTAAAACCTCTATTTTTAGCCAGTCAAAACAAAAAAAAAGCCTTCAGAAACGCTAGATTTTGAAATGAAAGATCAAGAAGGTTAGAACAGATCTTTAACCTGTAAGTCCCTGTTTCTAAAGAACAAGACTATGGATAGAAATAAGAACTCGCTGCTCTTTGTGGAGCAAAATATATGAACTCCAACAAAAGCGTTGGAATCAATCTACGCGATCACAACAAAGACAATTATATAAAATAAGCGGATAATAAATTACAGGCCACTAAACTTTAATGTACTGTACCAAATTCAACAAATTAGAATGAATTAAGCAGAATTAAGCAAATTCAATGACTAAACTTTAAGCAGAATGAATTATCCCCCTCGGTTTTGACAAATCATCTTGGAAATTCTTGATTGTATTGTACTATACCAAAAAGACAAACAAAAAATTCCTAAACTTAGCGGATTGTAACAGCCCAAGTAGTCATCTCGCAGGCGATAAAGAAATCTGCATTCGTGTTGAGAGAGAGAAGAAATTAATAAATAAAAGAAATTAAACTAAATCTACATCAAATTATCCATAGTTAAAGCAGAANAACTAAATCTACATCAAATTATTCATAGTTAAAGCAGAATCAATAAATAAAAGAAAAATCTACAACAAATTAAACAACANATAAATAAAAGAAATTAAACTAAATCTACATCAAATTATCCATAGTTAAAGCAGAATCAATAAATAAAAGAAAAATCTACAACAAATTAAACAACAAGCGAAATGGAAAAAGGTTAGCTAGATAAAACACAATAATGGAGCTAAAAATGTGCAAAGGTACTTACAGATCGCAGAAAAATGCGAGCTGAGAGAGAGAAGACGATCAGAGAGGTGCCCGACGAGGAGTCGCATGCGAGAAGGACAACGAGGAATCACCTGAGAGAGAGCAGTCGAGGAATCACCTGAGAGAGAGCAGTCGAGGAATCGCCGGAGAGAGGGATGACGAGGACTTGCCTGAGAGAGCGACGACGAAGAGTATTCGCCTGAGAGAGAGCCGGCGAAGAGTCAGTCGCCTGAGACAGAGTGAAAGCAAGAGAAGTCGCAAGGTTTCTGTGGCTATTTTGAGTCCAGAGAGTGAATTGGGAAAACAATTAGGTTGATTTTGGGGGAGGGAATTTTTTTTTTTATTATTTTTAATTAAGAATGTGTGGCGTTTGTCTTAAATGCCGGAAATTAAGCGAATTTTTTTTTATTATTTTTATTAATAATTTATGGCATTTGACTTAAATGCCAGAAATTAAATGAAAAAAAAAATATTTTTATAATTTTTTATTAATAATTTTTGGTGTGTATAAAAAAATGCCAATTTTAGTGGCGTTTAAGTTAAATGACAAAAATTTGATAAAAAAAAAATTAAACACCAAAAATTAAATGCCGAATTTTCCCATCTTTCTTGTAGTGTCAGGCCTCTTTACCTTTGTCTTGTAGAAAGTGTTAATCTTCTTGTCCTTGGCTAAGATAAGGGTCTTTGCTAAGTTGTCATTTTTCCTCACCAAGGTAATTATGGTAACCTTCGTAATCAAGTTTTCCTATAAAATCAGGTTGAAGGGCAATTCTACGACATTTTTAACATTGTTGAGAAGTAATTTACACTCTTTTCTGGTTTCTAACAACGCGTCTCCAATGTAATTTTGAACTTTGCTTCATTTTTTCCTAATCCAACCAAAGTCATCACTAAAATAGGAAAATAAGAAATCTTTACATGTAGTAATATGAAAGGAAGTTGTTGTATCAATTATCCAAGTAGAGTCCTAGCATACGAGATTGACATTGGTTGTCAAAAACCTGACTCATTTCCATATAATTCAAAGCGTTAATAGCTTTCATAAGAAGTAAACAATACAATCCTTAAACAATGATTAAGCTCTAATATCAACTTGTAACGCCCTAGTTTTCTGGATGCGTTAATTAATCAGATTCCACAATTATATCTCCAAATGGTGAGCCAGAGCTTGAATTACGTCAATAAAAAATTATATTGATAATCTAACGTCCAATTACAAGTACATCTCCTAATTTATATAATACCAAATTTATATTATCTCTAGTTCCTCAAATATTCCACTCACAATCCTTTTTGAAAAATTGAGTAAGCATGGAAGTATATAATATGAGAGGAAACAATATGCTTAATGATAAAAGTACA